GATGTGATCTCAAAGATTTTTAACATGTCCTTGTATTTAGGTGTTTTCTCTTCATGTTGGAAGAGTAGTTTCCTTATTCCTATCTACAAGAGTGGAAGTAGACAATTTATTGAGAACTACAGAGGCATAGCCAAGTTGAGTGTCTTGCCCAAGTCGTTCGAGCGTATTGTGACTCAGCATTTGGCCTTTGCCATTAATTCGTATATGAAGCATTTATATGGTTAACCATAACTTACTTATCTTTAAACTCCAAGCCTCTGGCTTACCTTTCTACTTAGTGAAATGGATAAGCTCTTATCTGCACAATAGATCCTTCAGAGTTTTGTTTAACTTTATCACCTCGGATGAATTCCCCGTTACGTCTGGCGTACCTCAAGGAAGTCACTTAGGTCCCATTTTATTTAGTTTATACATTAACGATTTCAAATCGGTGGTTAATTCCAGCCAGATCTTAATGTATGCTGATGATGTGAAACTGTTTTCTTCCTTCTCTGTTGAATCGCAATCACATCAGCTTCAAGGTGATTTGGATAATTTTGTTGCATGGTGCTCTTTGAATCTTCTGAAACTAAATCTGAGTAAATGTAAGAAGCTTTCATTCTCAAGAAGAAAGTCACTCATTACTCAGTATTTCATAGATTCGTATAAGTTGGAGGACGTCGATTCGATCACAGATTTAGTCGTTCTATTTGACCATAGGTTACGTTTTAACTTGCATATTGAGCTCTCGATTAGCAAAGCTAGGTCCGCGCTTGGTTTTATAAAAAGGTGGTCCAAAGAGCTTGATGATCCCTACATTACGAAAAGGCTGTACATGTGTTTGGTTAGACCCATACTCGAGTATGCGTCAGTTGTGTGGTCTCCTTCATATAGGTGCTACGTAGATTCAATTGAATCTGTTCAAAAGCAATTCTTGCTGTTTGCCCTTAGAAATTTGGGTTGGGATCCGATTGCCTCTCTTCCTCCGTATGAAAATAGGTTGCTTCTGCTGTCCCTACCGTCTCTTGAGAAACGTAGATTTGTTCTTGGCGTTTCCTTTGTAATCAAAGTAATAAATGGTGCTATTGACTCGCCTTTATTACTTGGTGAAATAAGCTTCAATGTCCCTAACCGCTTCTCTAGTCACTTTATCTTGGTTAAGCTTAATCAGTGTAAATTTAATTATGAGCTGTTCAATCCGCTCAGAGTCGTTTGCAAGAACCTAAATGACGTCTACCACTTATTCTCGTTATCGGACTCTTTAAAGTCCATTAAAGCAACATTGCTTAATACGCGCGATTTACCTATGTCGTATTTAAACTAGCTTTTATCCTTAAAAAGTCGTTACGTTTCGAAAGTGAATTATTGTCAATTTATTATCGGTTGCCAGTCTTATGCTTGTTTGCGATGGCTTAGGGGTTCATTTGCAATTTGGTCCTGTACCTGTTGTAAGTGTGCTCCTATGCTGATAGTGTACATGGTTTTTTTTTCTTCTTATTTGTTTTATTATGCTTATACTAAATTTTATTATTAATTAATATAAGTTTTGCATTATGAGCCAATTGAACTCGACTGTTATTTGTTTAGTTGAGTTTCTAGTATAAGTGGAATAAATAAAATAAAGATAAGGAATTTAAAAATAAAAGTTCATAGAATAAAAATATGATTATTATTATTATTATTATTAATTTCGCCAGAGAAATAAATCCTAAGACTAAACTCTCAAAAGCACTAGCATCTAAGGCCATTGGCTTTTATTAAAAACTCTACCGCACTTGAGATACGACCCCACGCCCATTAACTTGCTACTCGAGATTCCCCGCCTTCGGCTACTCAGGCGGTAGAATAAAAATAGAAAAGAGTAACTTGAGGGAATATAAGAGCATTGTAAAATAATTGGCAATAAGCCCATTTATTTTGTTTATTTACAATTTTATATATTGCATATATTGACAATACTTGATATATTATTTCTCTTTCGAAATTGCTGTGGTTATCACAGTTCTTTCAATGGATGTTTTGACATCGAATTTTCTGGCTTATTTTAAATGTATACGTTTCCAAATAAAAAAAAAAATTTTTTTTTTGAAGGATTAGAATCTTCTCTCTTAAAAAAAAGAATTGTTTAAATATTCTTGAACTTGTAGTATAGTATGGCTGTTTATCGTTTCAAATATTTTCTGGAATATTTCAAAATGACATTGGCGCAAAATAGTACTGTGAATACTTAAAATTCCGAATATCATGGTAGATGCGTGTGTATTAAAAATTTTTTGGCACAGATAGAAGGAAACGGCCCTATTTTTAGTGCATACAAAAAAAACCAGCGAATGCTTCCTTGTTTATGGCTTAAATTGCATTTTCAATTTCTTCCATGATTACATTTTATGATCGCTTGTTTTTGCGCTCTTCAAAGAGCAAAGCGCTT